CACATATCTATGTTTACAGTTCCTGTCCTGGGAAAGTCTTTAGAAAAACATGTCAGCAAGCTCAAAAGCTGAATTTTCAGGGCAACATGTCATCAGTGCCTGCAGTGTTCTGCTGTCCCTGGAACGTGGGGACACTTTCCCAGTCGTGTCCCTCAGTGGGACCCATTAAAACTTCAAGAAACTTTGTAGTGCCAATTTAACTTTGAGTTCTTGAGAAGTTTTTTGAACACTCTCTCAGGGACCGAGTCTGGTGGAAACAACACCAAAGCCCTGAGAGGGTCATTAAAATCCTGGTGCTGTTGCTGAGCTGGGCCGAGCTCCTGGCACAGAGGCAGCTCCTGGCAACCAAGAAGAGCTTCAAAAAGACATTTCTCCTGATGAGCAGCTTTTCTCCCAGCCCAGCAGGGCTGAGGGTGCTGCCTGCAGCTACCTGGGTGCCTTAAAGCAACTGGAAGGACAAGTCTGAGCTTCTTCATGGAGAAATGCTCCCAACTGCTGGCACAGTAAGTCTCTGGCTGCGGGATCTCCTAAAGCTGCCCCATGACAGCACTGACATGACTGTAGGGATGGCTCTGCTGCCGTTTGTGGTTTGGGGAGGATGTGCTGCAGAGCGGGGCTGCCCTGGGCACCCTCAGAGGGACAGGGCAGGACGGCTCCTGCTGCCAGGGACGGCTGCAGGGGCTGAAGCTGGGGCTGCAGCCAGGGCTGCCCAGGGCTGTCCTGCAGAGCAGCTCCTGCAGCCCTGAGGGCTCTTTGCCAGGCCAGGGCATCTGCCACCTGCCAGGGCCAGCTCTCAGCCTGCCTGGGAGCTCCCCGTGGGTGCTGGGGAGAAGTTGGAGGGGGAAGGAGCGACCCCCATCAGGGCAGATTCCTCCTGCTGTGGAGATGGTGCTGCATGGCCAGGGCTGCTCTCGGCTTTCTCCTAAAGGAAAGGGCAAGGGGCTGTCAGCTTGGTCTGTGTCACTGAGACTCCTGCACTGTCACCCTGGGCATCAGCAGAGCTGCCTCAGCTCTCCCTCCCAAAGTGCCTCCTCAGCCTCCTCTAGCCACAGCCAGCAGCAGCAGCACCTTGGCTTGTAGCATCTCTGTTTGTCTGAGCTGCCCTTAAGGCCCTGCTGGCAGGGAGATGGCCCTGGGCAGTGCCTGTGCTGGGAGGGGTGTGCAGGGCAGAGCTGAGCCCCCAGGGCTGGGCTGGGCTCGGGAGTACTGGCAGGGACAAGGCTTGGATAGAGAGAAACAGCTCCCAATAGGCACAACTCCAGGCAGAGAGCCTGACCAGCCCTGGGTATCCCTCCCTGTCCAGCTGCACAGAGACAAAAAAGACATCTCGGGAAAATTATTTTGAAGTTGGAGCCTTTAAAGAGGCTGCTTTATTTTTCAAGCATGTTTTATGTTTAGCCACTCTGAAACAGAGGGAGGTGTAATGATCAAAGGGCTCCTGTGTGAGACCAGCAGGTCTGAGTGCCCTGGGGCACAGGGAGCCCTGATTTCCCTCTGGGCTCCCCAGTGCTCAGGCTGAGAGCAATGCTGAAAGAGGATTTCTGCCCCTTCACAGAAAAGAAAGTAACTTAGCAGAAAACTCAAGCTCAAAAATATTAAAAAACTGAAAGAAATTTCCCCAAAGAAAGAGAAGTAATTTTGTGTAAATTTGTAAGAAAATAGCATAGAATTGACTCAAGGAAATCTGTCCCAGCTTTTCAATGTCTTCTTTCAACAGTCCACCATGCCCAGAGTGAAGAAATGCCCAACAGCAGCTCCTTCAGCCACTTCCTCCTGCTGGCACTGGCAGACACGCGGCAGCTGCAGCTCCTGCACTTCTGCCTCTTCCTGGGCATCTCCCTGGCTGCCCTCCTGGGCAACACCCTCATCATCAGTGCCATAGCCTGCAGCCACCACCTGCACAGCCCCATGTTCTTCTTCCTGCTCAACCTGGCCCTCACTGACCTGGGCTGCATCTGCACCACTGTGCCCAAAGCCATGCACAATTCCCTCTGGGACACCAGGACCATCTCCTACTCAGGATGTGCTGCACAGCTCTTTTTCTTTATGTTCTTCATCTCAGCAGAGTATTTCCTGCTGACCATCATGTGCTACGACCGCTACGTGTCCATCTGCAAACCCCTGCACTACGGGACCCTCCTGGGCAGCAGAGCTTGTGCCCACATGGCAGCAGCTGCCTGGGCCAGTGCCTTTCTCAGTGCTCTGCTGCACACGGCCAATACATTTTCCCTGCCCCTGTGCCAGGGCAATGCCCTGGGCCAGTTCTTCTGTGAAATCCCACACATCCTCAAGCTCTCCTGCTCCAAATCCTACCTCAGGAAAGCTGGACTTACTGTGATTGGTGCCTGTTTAGGTTTTGTCTGTTTTGTGTTCATTGTTTTCTCCTATGTGCAGATCTTCAGGGCTGTGCTGAGGATCCCCTCTGAGCAGGGACGGCACAAAGCCTTTTCCACCTGCCTCCCTCACCTGGCCGTGCTCTCCCTGTTCCTCAGCACTGCACTCTTTGCCTACCTGAAGCCCCCCTCCATCTCCTCCCCATCCCTGGATCTGGCCCTGTCAGTTCTGTACTCGGTGGTGTCTCCAGCCCTGAACCCCCTCATCTACAGCCTGAGGAACCAGGAGCTCAGGGCTGCCCTGAGAAAATTGATGACTCTGTATTTTCAGAAGTATTAAAATCTCTCTTTTCTGCTTCAAAGCCTTTTGAATGTAACTGTTTGGAATCTCAGCCTTATTATTCCCTGTTTGTGCATTTATTCATTGGTAACTTTTTCTACTGTTGTGTGTTTTACAAATACTGTAGTATTACTTTTTGTATTTCTACATGAATATCTACCTTTCTTTTGAAACACAAAGACCTACAAGAGGTCTGTTCCTTGTGCTTTTAAATAAAAACAAGTGCCTGCCCTGACCTGTGTGTCCAGGATCATTCCTCAGTGCTTCTCTGGCTCTGCAGTGAATGATTTTGGGTACCTTAACACCTCAAGGGTTAAAGGTTTCCATGTTAAATGGGCTAACTTAATGCAGTCATTGCTGTGGAAAGTGTTTTATGTTCAACTGGATGTTGTATTAAATGCTTTGCCCAAGTTCCTTGGTTCTCTGTACTTTGCCAGTAAAATTCTGTGTGGTTTTCACCTCTGAGCTCCGTTGGTCAGAGCACGGTGCTGATATCAGCGAGGCTGTGGCTTCAATCCCTGTGTGGGCCATGCACTTGACAGCTGGAATTGCTGGTCCTTGGGGGTCCCTTGCAACTAAGAATATTCTTTGCCCCTGTGTCCCTTGAGAATATCTGCTGGGGTTTGTCCCGTGCACCAAAGGCAAGTCAAGGAGCCTTTGGTTGCCGCCATCACTGGAGTGCTGTGGGCTGTTGCAGCCCCGCAGGCTCCCAGGGGCCTCTTGTTTGCGTCAGGCCCTGCTGGCTCACGCTGGCCCTTGGTTCCATGAGGATCTGCAGGGTCCCCCAGGTTGATGGCATTTGTCCTTGCTGCCCCTCACATCCCCCTGCCCCAGGAACAGCCCCGAGCCCCCCGTGAGGGACAGGCCCTGCTGTGCCAGGCCTGGGCTCAGGGCTTGGCCTTTCTGCTGCCTCCAGCCAGCCAGGGCTTGCTCAGCATTGCAGTTCCTGCTCACAGCCTTTGGCTCCCTGCAGCCCTGGCCTCCAGGATCTGCTCTCCCCACTCCCTGGGGAGCCTTTGCCACTCCCTGCCCTCCCTGGGGCCACTGATGCTCCAAGGGACTTGCACTTTGCCTTTGGACTCCTGGAGCAGCTTCTTCACCCTTCTCTCAGTGCCTGAGGCTCCTGGGCTCAGCCCCAAATCCAGCGTGGGGCTGGTTCAAGTTATAATCACGTCCACACTTTCATTAACATGAGTTAATGACAAGCTCCTGGTTTCATTACTCCCCATTTTGGCCCCAAATTCCCTTTTTCTTAGATCCAAAATAGACCTTTTTGGCTCCAAAATCCCCCTTTTGGGACCAAACTGGTTTTTTTATTTTTTGCCAAACTCCCCTTTTAGGCAAGAGACTCTCCTTTGTTTTAATCCAAACTCTTACATTAAGATCCAAATTCCCACATTTTGTTAATCAAACCTCCTGTTTTGGGCCAAACTGTTCCTTTTGGGAGCCAAATTCCCCCTTCTGGGTCCACATTTTCCGTCTGGGCACCCAAATTCACCTTTTTTTCGTCTAAATTTCTGGTTTTTGAACCCAGATTCCACTTTTGGCATCCAAATTTCTCACCTGAGTGCTCAATTTCCCCCTTTTTAGGCCCAAATTCTCCTTTTTGCATCCAAATGTCACACTTGAGTGCCAAAAATGTTCTTTTTTGGCCCCAAATTCCTACTTTTGAGCCCAAATTCTCACTTTTGGACCTAATTTCCCCTTTTTTCTGGGCCCAAAATCCCATTTTCATCCCAAATCTCCCCTTTTTCCCCCAAATTCCCCCCCTGGCTGCCATTGGCTCACCTGAGTTGACCTTTTGGCATCAGACTTTAATATTTTTTTTAAACAAAATCTCCTTCTTGGGTCTAAACTAAGTTTTTGTTGCTAAAACCTCCAGTTTTGGGCCCAGCTGTCCATTTTGGGAGGCAAATTCCCACTTCTGGCTCCAGATTTCCCATCTGGGCACACAAATTCCCCTTTATTGGAACCCAAGTCCCCATTTTTGGCCCCAAATTCTTCTTTTTCAGTCCAAGTACCCTACCTGAGTGCCCATATTCCCCATTTTTAGGCCCAAATTCTCTATTCCTGGGCCAAATGTCCCCATTTCAGGTACAAACTTTCCACCTGAGGACCCAAAATCCTATTTTTGGGGCCCAAAATTCCCACTTTTGGACATTAACTCTCTTTTATTCTGGCCCCAAATCCCCTTTTTCATCCCACATCTCCTTTTCTTGCCACAGATTTCCCCCCTGGCTGCCATTGGCTCACCTGGGTTGACCTTTTAGCATCAGATCTCATTTTTACATCTAAACTGCTCCTTTTTGCTGCTCAAACCCCCGGTTTTGGGCCAAACTGTTCCTTTTGGAAGCAGAATTCACCCTTCTGGGTCCACATTTCCCATCTGGGCACCCAAATTCCTCTTTTTTTGAACCCAAATTTCCATTTCTTGGACCCAGAGTCCCCTTTTTGGGTCCAAATTTCCCATCTGAGCACCCCAATTCTGCTTTTTTAGGCCCAGTTTCTCTCTCTGATGTTCCCTCCCTCCGAGAAACCCTGTTAAAAGAGACCCCCAGACCCCAAATCCTTTGTCTTTCGCCCTTTGGATTCCCCTTCACAGAAATAAACTGTGGAATGCAAACCAGGGAGAGAGTCCCCCCCTGATTTCTTTACTCGCTTGCTAAGACTGGAATTCCTGAAGAAAATCAGTGAACCCCACAAACATCTGCTGGCTGGAAACCAGAGTGAAGAGAAACCTCATCCCTGAGCCAGCCGGGCCACTCCGGGAGCTTCCACTCAACCTTTTTTTGGCCCAAATTCTGCCTTTCAGCGCTGAAACTCCCCCTTCTGGGTCTAAACTTCCCTTTTTTTGGGCACCCCAATTCTCCTTTTTTGGTCCAAATTCCTGAGTTGTGAACCCATATTCTGCTTTTTGTGTCCTTGTTTCCCACTAGATCCCAAATTCCCCTGTTTTGGTCCAAACTTCCCATTTGGGCACCCAAATTCCTCTTTTTTAGGCCAAAATTCTCCCATTTAACACCAAATTTCCTCTTCTGGGTCCAAATTTCCCATCTGGGCTCTCAAATACCTATTTTTTCTCATTTTAATTCCAATTTTTGGGTCCAAATTTCTCACCTGAATGCCCAAATTCCTCCTTTTTGTTCCAGATTACCCCTTTTTGGTCCAAATTACCCCTTTTAGTCCAAATTTCTGATCTGGGGACTCAATTTTTTTGGGCCTTTTTAGGCCTAAATTCTCCCTTTTTGGATACAGACTTCCTTTCATTCTGGCCCCAAATCCCCTTTTTCATCCCAAATCTCCCTTTCTTGCCCCAAATTTCCCCCCTGGCTGCTGTTGGATCACCTGGGTTAACCTTTTAGCATCAGACTCCCATTGTTTTAATCCAAACTCTCATTTTTATATCTAAACTACCCCTTTTTGCTGCTCAAACCCCCAGTTTTGGACCAAACTGTTCCTTTTAGGAGCCAGATTTTCCCTTCTTGGTCCACATTTCCTATCTGGGCAACCAAATTCACCATTTTTTGGTCCAAATTTCCATTTTTTACACCCAGATTCCCTTTTTGGCATCTAAATTTTCCACCTGAGCGCTCCATTTTCCCCTTTTTAGGTTCAAATTCTACATTTTGAGTGCAAATGTCCCACTAAGTGCCCACAATGTTGTTTTTTGTCCCCAAATTCCCACTTCTGAGCCCAGATTCTCACTTTTGGACCTAATCTCCCCATTTCTTTGGCCCAAACTCCCCTTTTTCATCCCAAATCTCCCTTTCTTGCCACAGATTTCCCCCCTGGCTGCCATTGGATAACCTGAGTTGATCTTTTAGCATCAGACTCCCATTGTTTTTTTAATCCAAACTCTCATTTCTGGGTCTAAACCAACACTTTTTGTGGCTCAAACCCCCACTTTTGGGCCAAACTGTCCATTTTGGAACCACATTCCCCTTCTGGGTCCAAATTTCCCATCTAGGCACACAAATTCTCCTTTATTGGGACCCAAGTCCCCATTTTTGGCCCCAAATTCTTCTTTTTGGGTCCAAATACCCTACCTGAGTTCCAAAATTTCTCCTTTTTAGGCCTAAATTCTGCCTTTCAGTCCCAAAACTCCCATTTGGAGTCCAAATTTCCCATCTGAGCACCCAAATTCCCCTTTTCTTTGGCATAAATTCTCCTTTCCAGGGCCAGAAGTCCCCATTTTAGGCATAAACGTCCCACCTGAGGACCCAAATTCCTATTTATTGGGCCCAAACTATCCTGGTTTTGTGCACAATCTCCCTTTTTTTCTAGCCCAAACTCCCCTTTTTCATCCCAAATCTCCCTTTCTTGCCCCAAATTTCCCCCTGGCTGCCATTGTCTCACCTGAATTGATCTTTTAGCGTCAGACTCCCATTATTTTTTTAATCCAAACTCTCATTTCTGTGTCTAAACTGCCCCTTTTTTTGGCTCACATTTCCAGTTTTGGGCCGAACTGTTCCATTTGGGCCCAAATCCCTCCTTTTCAAGTCCAAATGTCCCATCTGGGCACCCAATTTCCCCTTTTTTTGGCCCAATTTCTTCTTTCCTGGATCAAAATTCCCCTTTCTGGGCATAAATTTCCCACATGAGTGCCCAATTTCCCCTTTTTTAGCCCCTAATTCTCCCTTTCTGCACCAAAACTCTCACTTTTGGGTTCATATTTTACATCTGGGTACCCAAACCCCCCTTTTTAAGGCCCAAATTCTCCCTTTCTTAATCCACACTCCATTTTCTGCATCCAAATTTCCCACCTGAGTGCCCAATATCCCAATTTTTGGACCAAATTCTCCTTTTCGGACCTAAACTCCCTTTTATTCTGGGCCCAAATTTCTCTTTTTCATCCCAAATCTCCCCTTTTTGACCCAAATTGCTGCCATTGGCTCACATGAGTTGACCTTTTAGCATCAGACTTTAATATTATTTTAAAACAAAATCTCCTTTTTCTATCTAAACTAACACTTTTTGTTGCTCAAAGCCCCAGTTTTGGGCCAAACTCTTCCATTTTGGAACCACATTCCCCCTTCTGGGTCCACATTTCCCATCTGTGCCCCCAAATTCACTTTTTTGGGACCAAACTCCCCAGTTTTGGCTCCAAATTCTTCCTCTTTGGGTTCAAATACCCTACCCGAGTTCCAAAATTTCCCCTTTTTAGGTCTAAATTCTTTCTTTCAGCCCTAAAACTCTCATTTGGGTCCAAATTTCCCATCTGAGCATCCAAATTCCCCTTTTTAGGCTCCAGATTCCCCTTTTGGCATCCACATTTCCCACCTGAGCACCCCAATTCTGCTTCTTTAGGCACATATTCTGCATTTCAGCACCAAAACTCTCACTTTTGGGTTCATATTTTACATCTGGGTACCCAAACCCCCCTTTTTAAGGCCCAAATTCTCCATTTCTTAATCCACACTCCATTTTCTGCATCCAAATTTCCCACCTGAGTGCCCAA